CTGTCAATCTTTTGAAGGTCAATTGATTTTTTCCATCAGTTAATTCCGATCTACAACATACCAGAAATTCAGCCATTTTCAGAGATTTTTTTCCTGAAAAAATTACATTTGGAGGTCAATATTGAGGAAACTGTCAATTTTTGGAGGTTATGTCAATTAGATTTTTTCATCAGTTCATTCCTATCTACAACATGTCAAAAATTCAACCATTTTCAGATACTTTTTTTTCTCGAAAAAATGACATTTGGAGGTCAATATCAGAAAAACTGTCCATTTTTTGAGGTTAGTTCAATGGAATATCTGATCAGTATATCAAAGTCTGCAACATACCAAAAATTCAGCGATTTTCATCGAGAGCCATTTTCCCTATATTCTGATCACAGGTGTGAATCTGTCAATTCCTCGAAATAAAATATCATAAAAAAGTTTGACAGCATTATTAACATCAGTGGCAAGGATTTCATCCCAATTGATGTCAAGAAGGAATTGGTTCATAGCTCGGAAGTTGCAGTTCTTGAAATCATATGAGAACTCTTCAAAGTCCAGTGTTTCAATGATGTGTATGACATTTGATGTTTATACTTAAAGCAGGATGATGACGATCAAGTTTCTAAAGAACATCACTAGCAATATTGACTATAACATTAGGATTGTTCGAAAGAACTAGGTCTAGTATCACATTATTATTGTTGCTTATTGAATTCTGTTAATAAAAGTTCAGATAGGAAAAAGTCTCAATAAAATACTCAGCTGCGGAACTGTGTCCATGATCACTGATTCCAAGACGGTCATTATTCCATTGAATGTTGGGTAAATTTTAGTCTCCCACAATGCAAACAGTTGAACATTCAAAAATGTTTGCCATGAACTCTGTGGCTTCACAATGTAGTTGATAGACCAGTTTATTTGATTGAGGGGGAATGTATACAGCTCCAAGTAATAAATTCTTGTCCTGTAGTTTGACAGACACCCACAACTCTTCAAATTTCACCTCATCAGCTGAATGTTTGTAATCAACAGGATTAGATATGAGAGAATTTCGCACTGCAATCAGAACTCCTCCACCTCTGACTTTGTGACTTTGGTGGTAGAAAGCAAATCACGATCTTGTCTATACAGGTTGTAGCCGTTAAAGCCAAGTTCTGCACTATGAATATCTTGATTAAGTGAGGTTTCCGTTACAACTATAAAGTCATACTCAAACGCAGACATATTTTATATAAGGTCAACTATTTTAGTACGTAGGCCATTAACATTCTGGTAGTACATGGACAGATTTCCATTATATCGTTGGCTGTGACAATTCAATGAAAATTTCTATTCACATTGTGATTTTCACGTACCTCAGTCGAGACTTCATTGCTATCTTGGTTTACCAGGATACTTGGGTCATTTTGACCAATATTGGGGTCCCAGGATTACTGGGCGGTGGCTGGAGACTTTTTTATGAAGTTGAATCTCCTGAATACTGTACCATAAGGCCAGAAGCTGGTAGAGTTTAATTGTTCATAATATTGGTGATCGACCCCCACCTTGAAAGAGCTGTAGGATCCAGTAGTGTGCAATTGTTCTATCTCAAGTTCATTATCTTTGGAGATTGTAGCTTTGGTTTTTATGAAGTACTTTATCACATCAGCCTTAACTTCTTTTTTCACTCTTCCTATTTACAGCCAGATTTTAGAATGAGCTGCCTGGAAGGGCTCCTCTTCAGGAAGCACAGCTGTGCCTCTGTCAGCAGGATTTTCAGTTTGAGTTGGATTCATCAGATTTGGTTCTTCTGGAATGCCTGTTTGATCATATTGCTTCCAGTTACCAATCAGGTTCTATTTCTTCCATTTGTCGTTGGACAGAGAGGAGCCAAATGTTTTATGGATACGTTCGTTTCACGACCATTTAATAGTCGTACTAGGGCATACTCAGGGTTTCGCATTGATAAGTTCCGCTTCCTCTAAAAGTGGTTCATATTTATTTTTACTCACATGTTTCCTGATCAAAACTGGTCCTGGCCAGCAAGCCAACTAGGTACTGCTGGTTCAAACGATGATTTTCTCGTATGATTAAACATTCTTTCGTGTGGAGTACAATTGATCACAGTACAAAGTAATGATCGTATGGAATGTAGGGCTTCCTGTAATACCTACTTCCTCCCATTGATCTATTTTAAGACCTTTTGTTTTCAATGCTAAGGATGTAGTCTTCCAAGTTATACCATTGTAGCGTTCTATTGGACATGAACATGTCATTTTACGAACATCATCATCATCATTTTTTATTTGATTCAATGATACATACGTGTGATACCAGGATGGCACAAAGCTTGGTGTAGGTCAAATAATGTGTCACTGCTTGTAGATCCACATATTCTGGAGAGAGTGTCGGCAACGGTATTTCTAACTCCTGGTCTATAAGGAATGCTGAAGTTAGAGCATGAAAGTTCTAGTCGCCATCTATAGATTTTCTCATTTTTCATTTTACTGATATGCTGCATGTCGAACATGAAGGAAACATGTTGTTGGTCAGTAATTATAGTAAACTTTCTAATTAAGTAGTGTCACCATTTCTTGAGAGATTCTACTATCACATAAGCTTCTTTTTCAACTGCTGAATGTCGCTGTTCACTGGTTGACAACGTTCTTGAAAATAAATCAACTGGTCTATCCTATTGACTCAAGCAGGCAGCTATAGCATGATCTGATGCATCAGTTTCCACAACAAAAGAATAGTGGGATCGATTGACATCACAACAGCGAGTGAATGATATCTGTTTTAATGTTCTCAAAATCAGAAATAGTAGGAGATGACAAAGGCAATGTTTTTGTGTTCACTAAATTGTGTATTTTTTGAGAGAATCGAGGGATCCATCTAGAGTAATGTGAAAACATACCTAAAACTCTCCATTTGTGACTCCAAATGGAACTCTTGTGAATTGAAATAACTCACCATCAGCTTCAAAGGCAGTATATCGCCTGTCATCCATTTTGATCGGTAGTTGATGATATGCACGAAGATCAATTGTGCTGAATATTCGAAATTTGGAGACAGCAGCTACAACATCTACTATGTTAGGTAAAGGGTATGCATCCAGATAAGTTTATCGATTTATTGTTTGTGAGTAATCTATAACCACTTTTTTTATGATTATCAGTTTTAGAAACGAGAGCTTGTGCCCTCCAAGGTGAACAGCTTTTTTCTATGATTCCTTCATCTAACAGCTTTCCTAATTCAGTAGAAATGAATTTGCCATCTTCTTCAGTTTGCTTCCTGGATTTGATTGCTATGGGTTTGCAGTCTGGTGACAAATTATGAAGAAGAGAAACTGGTTCTATGTTTGCTACTGCTTAACTACATATTGCTAAAGGTGTTCTTGAACCGCCAAAGTCGAGTTCAATCTTGGAGTGCTGTGGTAATATGTCCTGACCAATGATAACATCAGCACTCAGCTTAGAGAAAATCGAAATCTCGAAGTTTTCATATAGGTGTCCCAAAAGTTCAATATTCACGAAGCAGTGTCCTTTTATATTTGAATAAAGATTCGTAGATGCCATGGAACAAAAGTCTTATTAATGTATGTTTCTGAACTCCCAGTATCGATGAGAGCATCAGCAAGACAACGAATACTGATTTCAAAACTTGAACTGCATTTTCGTATGTATCACATTGATTGATATATTCATATGTAGAATGACTTTTACATGTGCAATAAGAAGTTTCAGTTCATCATCAACTGTTACATCGTTCAAGGAAGCGATAAAGTTTTCAAACGTAGTTAGCCAATGTTCCATACTTGGTCAGCATGAGGCTTGTTAGGGTCAACATCAAATCTTTCTGGTTATAGGAATTTATCCATAATACTTCTGCTTAATGAATTGTAAAGATTGCCTTCCAAAACTAGGTTTCATTAAGCAGAAAAACTTGGCATACACATGACATAAGTATTCTGCAACTAATGACTTTTGAACATAAAAAAAAGACATCACAAGATCACAACAACGAGTCGACGAAATACAGAGTGATTTCACCACAGTCTGTTTGGATTGATTATACATCACTTTCTTTTTAAATTTTATTGTTTTCTAATGTATTTTTTCCTTCCTCCATTGTTAGTTCACAATATTTTTTTGATCTGTTTTTTGTTCCACCGATAGGTCAGTGTGTTTGTGTAAGTGTATCTCATTTTTTCAGAAGTTTTCAGTCTACTGGTCGGCATCCTAATCAAAGAGTATAGTCTGACGAACGGTCGGCAGCCTATAAAAAAGTATACCGGGTGACCCGGAACCAATTTACCCCCCTGTATCTTCGGTATTATTTTATATGGATGTTTCAAATTCGGTATTTCGATTTGATGTTATGAAAACAATTTAGCAAGTATCAATCCAATTATGACACTTCCGGTTTGATCTTCGAACAACAAAATTCAAAATAGAAATATAAAGATACCTCTTACAGTCAATGTCTAGAACATCCAAGAATGTTCTCTTCTCAATTAATATGTAGCCTCGTATGAATTTATGATATTTTCATCTTTATGTTCTTGAATATTCTACCTATCTACTTGAACCCCATATTGTATATAGATATTCTAATGTATACTCATAAAGTTATTTTCTTTATACTCAACTCTCTAATTCTGACGGTGCTGAAATATTGTATGTTATATGAGCTTGAGCAAATAAAGTGTTATTATTATCATTGTCATTCTCCTCTTCTCCTCTTTTTCTTCTTCTTCTTTTTCTTCTTCTCATTATTATTATTATCATTATCACTTTTAAACTCACGAAATATGCCAATATGAAAAAATACATAGGAAACGTCATGTTCCAAAGAGAAATACGAAGACACATCGACACACACTAACTGAGATATTGCATGAAAAACAATAAATTCCTCTGATGCACTTCAACACCCTGTCGCTCCTCAACACACCCTACTTTCAGAGTATGAAATAGTAAATTCCTAATATTAGGTATCCTATGATAAAAGTTGGAATTTTCGATTTTCAGGTCACAGCATATGCAGTGAATGCAAATTGAAAGTAGCCAACTGCCCAAACTGTCGAAGCCAATTTTCGGGTGCTCGTAACTTCACTTTGGAAAAATTGACAACTCGAGTCCATTATCCCTGTAAAAATCGAGAAATCGGCTGCTCATTCGTAACAACTTCGGACAGAATTCGAGGACACGAAAGTTCTTGTGAACTATCTGAGACGCCCTGTATATTGAGGTGCGCACACAGATGCTTGAGGCCAAGTATGTATAACCATTTGACAGAAAAACATGCCAATTCCTTACTGGCTGCCAATACTTTACATATTCGCGATGTCTCTGACAAAAAGGAATCCTTCCATGTGCTGTACGTGTTCGGCGAGCTGTTTCGATTCAGTATTAAAGGTAGCGGATTCAACCCATACAAATTCAATGTACAGCATCAGGGTATGGCAGAGGAAGAGCCAGTCTTCAAGTATGAGCTGCAGTTCGTTGATGAGTCGCCGCTAGGATTGAATTTGAGTATGACAAATAGCTGTCAGGTTTTAACTGATGTTCCCAATAAGGCTCATGCTAATGCAGTCAATGTGCCCTGGGAAATGCTGAAGCCTTTTATATTTGATAACAAGTATTTCTATTTCAAGATCATGATTAACAGAATTTGAGGTGATGATTTTTATTCTTTTAGTTGAACAAGTGTAATAAATATAGGTACCTATACTTCAAATTTCAAGAGCATGAACACAGGAAGTTCATACTCGCGTAAACATCATGAATAATTCCTTTAGCAGATATCCCACCCTGTAAGATACTGGTCAGTAAATATTGGCCCCCAATTTAAAAAAAATTTTCTCCGGATTCCGTTCTGATCAGATTTGCTCGGCTCTACCAATGCAGAAGCCGAATTAGGTAACCAACCTCGGTAATATTTTTGACATTCATTATGTTCCATGAAAATTAGTTTGTAATTTTGATGGCAGGGATTTCTGTATTATCATTTATGTCTGATTCAATCATTAAATAGTCATACGAATACAACTCGTGATACTATTTTTCCTAGAAATATTCTCCGATTGACACTCCAGCTTGCTGGTTTAATTTTGCTCATGACATGAAACTCGCCTACGATCCGATTGTTTTGATATACAATATGTCATTCGCGAAATTATCAGGCATCAAGCTGTCGCAACAATCGCCTAATATTTCTGGCAAAGTATTACTTGTGGTGTCAAATATGATTACTGGTGACTATGTACAGTGCATTTCAGAAAGTTATTATTGGAAAACACTTTTGATAATGATTTATTTCAAAATTCGACTTAGGCGGTAAGTTTTACTTCAAAAAAATGCCTACTTGGCTGGGGTCACGGGATTTTCGCTACATGCTGAAGGTTCCATTTTTTTAAATTAACTTCTTGGTTTTGATATATTTGTTTAATCTACGAACTTACTCTATTACAAATATTTCAACTCCTACAAAACTGTCCTAAACTTTGGTCAGATACGTGAGGTGATTTGATAATATTGTTACGATAAACGTCTGGGTTCGGTCATCAACAAACACTCTGTAGAGACAAAACGATTTATTCAAACACAAACACCAATATAGTCTTGAATTTACGATGCAGATTCACAATAATTACGTTTATCCCTATCCCTACTATAATATTATAAATGTGAAGTAAGTTTGTTTGTTACGCTTTCACGCAGAAACTACTTAACCGATGATCATAAAACATAGTCATCGATGTATTAGGAAGGACATAGCCTACTTTTTATTATAAAAAAAATTACGGAGGGTATATAAACAAATTTATTTTGGCAGAAATGATTGTTGGTCAAAAATTGTATAATCTAGCAACCTGATTTATTGACTATAGTCTCACTTGTTTATGATTCATTAATATTTAATTTCAGTTTGTTCTGTCACATAAGTAATACCACAGTAGATAGCTAAACGCGGACCAGGCCAATATTTCAACACTTGGACTCCGGTACCTTAGATGTTAAGTATTACAATATGTCGTTTGGGACTCGTAAGTCTCGGATTAATTAGATGATGAAATGAAAATTACAGATATCTAACCTATCAGGTAGGCACTTCGAAGGCACAAATTACTGCATGGGAGATACCCTTCAGATTTTTTGTTATTCAGTGACTTGACGACGAATGACATTGACGTTTTAGTGTTCTACGCTACCAAATCTAATTCACTTCTATTGAAATGTAATGATCTTTGATATTTATTTAAGGGCTTCAACGCGAGCGAAGCCGCGGGTAAAAGATAGTTTTTAATGAAACACCTTCAACTTATTTACTATTTCACCCAATCGTACTTTATCCAATACTACTCCCGTCGGGTTACCTGCCAATGTTTATATCTGAACTAAGACATTCTGGCGTGTTCACAAGTTTTCCAGGACCTTCGCCAAATCGTCGAACGTCTTCTATGAAACAAACAGCCTGCGCGAACTACATTCCGCAAAACGTAGTCTCGTAACAATATTCTGACTGATGACTTTGATAACTTTTAGTACTGTAAATATCCATTCAAATAAATTTCGCTACTAAATGCTTAACAATATATCAATTTTAAATAATATTTTTGTCAATAATTAGTAATTGAAAGTGAGTAGCATGATGAAGCTACTTGTAGCGAAAGTCACGTGACCCCGACCGAGTTGGACATTTTTCATCCTGTTCAAAGCAAAACCTTCCGCTCAAGTCGAGTTTCATAATGAATCATTATTGAAAGTTTTTCACATATTAATTTTCTGAAAGACACTTTATAGTGTACATACATACACGCCTGTCAAAAAAAATCTTCTCATAGGGAAACCATCTATTGAAGTGAATACGCATAAGGATTCATGGATATCTAATAGAGAGAAAGCGACGTAGGCGAAGTTGTCATTATACCTACTTCACTCGTGTGACAAACATGCCACTAAGCGTACTCAATGGGTGGTGGAAGACAAGGTTTGACAATATTGCTTTGTTTTTCTCTCTATCACATACTTGTAAGCCTCTTTGCATATTCACTTCAATAGATGGTTTCCCCATGGGAAGATATATTTTGCCAAAGGTGAATATCTATTTGACCGACGATCGAATCCTCACAAAATCCTCACAAAATCCTCACAAAATCCTCACATTCAAATGAGCAAACCCTCAAAAAACACTTACTGCAGTAAACCATCACATTGTGAGATATATTTTTTTAGTATGGGTTGAATCATCAAAATGATCGTCCAGAGTTGAAATTGAGAATATAAGTACTATACGTGCAAATATCAGATGTAGGTATTTTCTCAAGTGTCCGTTTTTTGCAGGGTAGTTTATTATATTAGAATCAATGTTGTTAAATGTTAATGAGTAATATACTTGAGCCAGGTGAGTTGGACTTACGACCTCTTACAATAAACCCCCTCTCGCTTTTAACCTTCTAACTTTCGACACAAGTCAAAACTACAACACCAGGTTTGAAATATAATCAAATGTATCATTTGTTCTCTGACTATCGACCCCCTTGAGCTACAGATGATGCATATTTTTATTCAGACATATTTTTTACAAAAATTCTTATTTTAATTCTTGGTATGAACATTTACCTGGCTCAGCCATTTTTCGGTTTTATCTGTATTCAGGTATTTTATTGAGATAGCTAATGTATTATATTAACATTTTAGTGAGAAACTTATTATTTATTTATCATCATAGAACTATTGTTTTTCCAGAAAGTTACTCAGATTTCATTTTACAAATCATATTATTGTTTGAATTATGTAAAACTGCCAGCATGTAGAATGTTCAATGGCTTCTGACCTAAATTTTGTGTACCAGCACAAATTCTTGTAGATATATGCGATAGATAATCAAGTATCTATTCAACTGAACTACTATTAGCCTTACTGCAGAGAGCAGACTGTTTGCCAGATCCTCACTAAAATTCTCATCTTGACTGAGCCTGTTAAAGGCGGCGCTCTTGCAACGATGTGGGGTCGAATCACGGTCAAATCAATGATCAATGTTGAATACTTGATCATCCATCACCTATAATTTGTTATATTTTGTGCTTGTAAATTCTATATGCTGGTTATTTTATCCTCAACGTGTATATCATTCATGAAAATATGGTATGAATGTAGGTACCAACTGTAATCAAAAATACATGTGTATTTCATATTTTTATAAATTATATGAGGTAATTTCCCAATGTGACAACGATAATTCGCTATTTTGATGTTATTTTTAAACATGTGGATCACATGATCATACAAACTTCGAACTATACTTAATTTCATTTGTTTCAGTGGTTGCGGTTTCAGTTTCAATAGTTGAATAGAAAATACTCATGCCATCAGATTGAAAACTAAACCTATTCAAACAAGGCATAATTTATCATTTGGGACAATTGAACAGTATATTTCACTATATTATTGAAAAAAAAGTTGTGAATGAATAGTGATGTGCGTCAAAATTAGGCTCAACTCTTGATTGGTTCATATCTTAATACGCATCCAACTGAACGAATTTGGTGTACTCAAATTTCCAAAGATACTTAATTATTATAATATACTAGAGTGACAAAAGAAGGTAAACACTTGAAATTTATAATTCTATTCCAATATTTTTGTGTATGCAGACCTTTGCGTCGAACAAAAACTAATTAAATTCTCAGAATTCTTGATGGAAGGTTTATCAATTATACGGGGTACTCGAGAGTAGTAGAAAATTGTAATTTTGGGGTTGTGAATTTGAGCAATCGCTGCAGCTTTTTCTGATATTTTTTCACCCAAGGAGCAATTGCTGAATTATTCAAGTTTAGGGTCACCCTGTACATTTGGACAGTCCTATATTTTTTGTCATGATTGAAACTAATCATTCATATTTTATTAAAAGAACGTAGTCAAAAAACTTTAGGGCAGAGGATATTGAAGTACTTGTAGTTCATAAAAGAATCGTTTAAGACCACAAGTGTGATAGTTTGTTGAAATCATTTTATCGGGAGGAACTTAGAAGAAATACCAAAATATACAGATTATCCCATTCAAAATTCTGAATCTGATGTCAGGTGGCCAAAACAAGAAGCTCATTGGGTAAAAAAATATCAGAAAAAGTTGCATCAATTGTTTTAATATTAAACCCCAAAATTACAATTTTCTACTACTCTCGATTTCCGAGACATTCCCTCTCTCAATCGTCGAGGGACACCCGGTATATACGCTATTGTCTGCAGAATATGTTAACAAAAAATTATTGTTATGAAGTTAATTCAAATGTGTGTTCACAGAGGTGTTTACCTTTTACCTTAATATTTTTTTATTGATCAAGTCATCCAAGGGATGAGGAAATTACTGTTGAAGTCTGTTTGAGACCCTATTTGATTGTTCAGTTTCAAAAGATCTAGAAAACACATCGAAAGTATTTGTTTACCTAGCCTAGTTGATGTTGTTTGATGAAATCTGAATTATGCATTTTTGAATTGGAAAGACAATTACTTTCCCCTGAAATGATTATGAGACATGGACGAATGACTGTTAGGCAGTCAGATCGCAAGAAATTGACTTGGAGAGGGGAACGTTTTTGATCGAGTTATAATTTTCGAATCGTATTTTTATGAATCGGTTCGTATTCAATGTAATAGTTCGCGATAGAAAATAA